TAGAGGAAAGTGGATGGGAGAGTTCCAGGGTCTGTGTGTAGCCTTTTGTCAGTGGCTGGCTCAGCAGGCCTTGCAAGGCTCAAGCTAAACCAATCAACAGGTGCCCAAGAACAGAAAGCTGGAACTGGATCTTGAAAAACATCCCAAGGTTGAACACCTTAAAACCTATCATCACTCTATACAAGGGTAAGGAATCTTTTTTTTTCAATATATATTTTTATTGATTCAAGAGAGAGGAAGGGGGAGAGAGAGAGAGAAACATCAATGATGAGAGTCATTGATCGGCTGCCTCCTGCACACCCCCTGCTGGGGATCAAGTCAGCAGCCTGGGCCTGTGCCCTGCCCGGGAATCGAACCTCGATCTCCTGGATCCTAGGTCAATGCTCAGCTGCTGAGCCACACCTAGCTGGGCAGGAATCATTTTAATTGAGGTAGACTACATTGCAAGGTGAACTTCGAGAACATGTACCAAAGGAGAAATCTTTCACAGTAATTTAGTTGTGCTTGAACCAATAATTATGTACGTTCCAAACCTTAATTTCCCAGGATCGTGTCATTTAAAAATATTTCCAGGATACCCGTGTACCTTCCCGTCAGCTCTGTTTGCCACCTCATTCTTAAATCTCCGCTCGTTGGTCATTTAGGACATCGGTTTGCTCGGTCACACCTCAGCGATGGTGACTGATTTTAGAGAGACTTGCTCTGCATTAGCGGCCCTTAGCCCTGCTCTTCTGAAGAGCCCTTGTTATCCCAAGTTACCCGAACACATGTGCCTTCTGCTTCAGTGAATACAGACAGACATATATGCCATGGAAGGAATTGGGCGGTATTTACATTCCTCTAAATAAAACATCAGTAATAAACCAAAAATCCCAGCGTCTTGCAAACTCATTAAGACGCGTGGACACCATGGCAGTAAGAGTTCTCAGTAGCATGCACCTCTTGCTGTTTCAGGAATGGATTCCAAGGCATTAAGTTCTACTTTTTAATAAACAGTATTATAGTAATGTTCTGACACAGCTTAATTCTGTTACAGATAAATTCACCTTTAAATCACTAGAAATAACTTGTGATTCTTTTCTAGGCCAATGTAAATACCACTTTATTATTATTTAAATCCCATACTATGTACTTAGTATTATATCTAGCAAATAGTACCTGTTTGAACATTTTTATTAAGTACCTTCTTGGTAATGGTGATGTCATTTATATTTTATAGGGAAGATGAGTTTAGCAGAGCAAAAAAACATAATGTATGTATAACATTTCATGTGGAGCTGGTGCCAGCTATTAGCACATAAGTATATATGCTTCAAAAAGATAACTGCCTTTTTAAATAACAACATGATCTTATTGAGATCAAAATTGCTTAAAAACAAAATTTTTATAAATATGTATCTGCTGTGTTGGTGAGAACCCACAGAATGTGCCTGAGAACGGATGTATGAGATGGTCTGTTGTCCTGTAATGCCCTGTGCCAACTTCTGTCCAGTCCTACACTCTCACATTGTGAAGATTTGCATGTCTGTCATTGTTATTTTTATTTTATTTTATTTTGTTTGTTTAAAATATTACAGATGTCCCTTTTTCTCCCCATTGACCCATCCCACCCCCTCCCCAGTCTGTCTCCACACCATTGTCCATGTCCTTGGGTTGTGCATATCTGCTGTCGTTGTTATTAAGTTAGGAGATCATTGAGGTATAGCTCATGATTTCATTTCTTTATCTCACCAGCTATCACAAAATCTAACAATTAAATGAAGAAATAAATATTTCTTGAATAAATAAAGAACATAAAAAAAAATATTGCCATATTTCATTCACCACAGTGCCTGATTTTTCGAAAGCAGTTATTTCGTGGGTTATCAAAACTAGGTCATGACCTTAATTATTCAAAAATATGGGAGACAGGTTTGGGCATCTAAGCCTTCTAACCTTCAGGAGTCCCCTATTTAAGTTATATATCAGTGATCTATTGAACCATGAGCTGTTGCAAGAGGCTCTTCAGAAGTGAAAGGAAGCTGGAGGGCCCCTGAGATATGCATTCCAGGCCCAGCTTATTATTTTAATGGTGTAGCCATTAGCAACACATTTTGAGCTGGCAGAATTTATTTGCCTGGGATGGGAGCAGAGCTATGTAACATTATCTCAGTGTTCAGTCTCTAATAGTGTTTACTTTTAGAAGCAACGCTTTCTTATTAATTTGCTCATTAAAGATGTTAATAATTGGTTCAAATGGAATCTTAGATGCCTGCTAATGGCCCATTCATTAAATGGGCATAATCTTGAACTTTGAGGTTGAAAATTCTAATTTCCTTTACGGCTGCTCTCAGATCGGCCCATATAAGAGGGAAACATTTTCTTTCCACGTCTTGCCTTCAGTGGTTGACACGATTTCTGGGGCCATTTGTCAGTGATTCCCACCTGGTATGAAGTAAGATTGATGTAGAATTACAGCTTATTCCGGAGGAGCTTTCAAGTTCAATTAGTTCATACTCCTCAGATGTATAAAGAAAATTCATTTCCTGTCTTTGCTATAATTGCTCTGTTTTCCTCAGGAACCCATGTAAAGGATAGGTTTCACCGTGTGTGCTCTGCGCGATTCAGTTGGGTAAATCATGGGTTAGATAACTGAGTCACTCCAGATGAATGATCACACTTTCAGATTTCTTCCCACTTTGCCTGGTGCTAGGCAAGGTTGTTTTGGGATCGGAGTTTGGGGTATAAAGGTTTTGCTTTTATGTGACCTCGTGCAGTGGGGGATAAGGGCCGAGCATCCACTAGGTTGCTTCTGGCTCCTTGCTGATTTCTGCTTGGGACAGGCTGGCACAGTCTGTCCCCAGGGCTGCTATCACGGTGGGGTAGGGGGCACTGTCTCATCTCCTGGCACTTAATGCCAGAGCGTGTGTTCCAGATATTTGCTCCCAGCATAAAATCCTTGTACACTGTGGCCTTTGTCCAATCTCAGGCTCCCATCCACCCACTGCTCTTCTCAGAAACTCTGTGCCCCATGCGACAGGGGCATGCCACAAACGCTGCATCCCTCGCCTGCTGCATAGGAGCCTTGGGCACAGTGGTCTCAGGACCCTCCTCTTGCCAACACCTGCCCGACTGGAAGGATTTGTGTTGGACATGATGGCCTGTGGCCTTCCTCTAGGACAAGGTGTGTGGGACCGGCCTTCTCACACCCACATTCACAGGCTCCCTCTTACTTGTCTGGGCCTTTCTATCACTCTGTCCACTCACCTTGAGGTTTCTCCCTCGGGGGAAAATGGGACACCTGTTGATCTCTCCACCTTACCTTTATTTCTCCTTTCTCCAGGTCTTGGAAGGACGGCCTTCCCTTCCCTGTATATCACACCCTCATTATTCCCACCCCTGAACAGCTAGAAGAAAATCTCTCTGCCCTGCCCTGCCGTGCTTGGCTCTGGGGGAACTGATGAGAGAGCTGAAGGACCCCCAGTGCCTCCCCTCCCGTCATGGACTCAGACTTAGGGGTGGGAGGCCCCAAGGGCGTGGAAGTCGGATAGGAAATGAAAACAGGGCGCTCTCATCTTTTCACAACATTATCTCCGTCACATCTAGATCAATGCCTGTGAATCCTGGCTGGATATTAAAATCACTGGAGGTCTTTTACAGAATACTAACGCTAGACCACCACCGAAAAATTAAATCAGAACATCGGCCATCGATCACGCTGGGGCTGGGGGAGCAGCAGCAAACTGCTCGGTGTCGATTAGTAAACACGTCCCACTCGGGTGGGTGCTCTTTCCCCTCCACTGCCAAGCACCCTGTTGTGCCAAACCAACCAAATGTTTAATTTATTAATGCTTTAGTGCAGTGTGTGTGTGTAGCATGTATATTTTACATGTAATTTATATAGAAAGCACGTCAAGAAGAAATGGTTTTCTTGTGTACTTCGTTCCTTATGATATTACTTGTGAATTGTTTAAGGGAGCCCCTTGCTTGCCAGTGATGGTGAAGACGGCCCATTTCTCGGATCACAGCAGTGCTGCCTTCCTGCCCTCCCCCCAGCACCATTGCCACTCCACAGAAGTCTCTTTCCACATTCACACTTCCTCTGGAGTCCCTTTCGAGGGTATCTGATGTTCAATGATCTTGTAGTCTGGAGGGGGAATCTAACAGAGACCTGCAATGTATTACTTTTTACTGGTACCAGAAATCCCTAAGTCCTGCACCCAAACTTGAAAGGAAAGGAAACACAATCCATGTGTTCCTTCTGCTTGCTGGGACCTCCTAGGTATAGGATCCCATCTCCTTCTGTCTCTCGATTCATAGTCTCTCTCCCGCTCCTTCCCCTCTCCTCCCCTCCAACTATCCCTCCAACACCCCCCGCTACTTAAGTGGGCTCACCCGGCCCAGGGAAAGGAGACGATGGGAAAAGAGGAGTTGGGGAGCCCTGGGGAGAAGCGGCGTCCATTGATTACCCATTTCTTTGTTCATCCGCATGTGAGCCGCGGCCTCCTCTGCACATCTGTCTGTGGAAAACAAATATTCCCAGGCACCCGATTCCATGAATCATCGCTAAAAATATATACTCTGGGACTTGAGCCAGCTCCACGGATTGCAGGTTTCCCACTTGGGAAGCAAGCCACCTTCTAAAGCAGGGTCTCTCCCTATGGAGAGGGTGCACTGAGCGAGGCTGTGTGCAGGGGTCACCCTGTTTGGTCTCTGGACTCCCTTGTTCTCAATCTGTACGGTTTGCAACTAACATCAACACACTTACACATGCGAAGCCCATGCATTTCTCTGTCCTGGGGTCCACTGAGAGCGGCATCTGAAGGTCATGCCTGGAGTAAGAGTGTAAGAGATTCTGTCAGCAGCCACTGCTGACAGAGGTGGCTGCGGTCATTTGGAAAGAGCTGCCGTCAGTGACTGTCATCACGGCCTTCCCCCCGGTTCAGAGGGCACGTCGTTAATGCGTGGTCAGACTTCACAGTGGAAGACTCCTTTGTCTGTCTTTTTTTTTCCATTTCCAGCCTGGATGTGTAAATACCACTGAAGTGGACATTAAGAAGTCTTCCCGCATGAGAAACCCCCACAAAACACGCAAGGTAAGACCCCCATTTGTTGTGCCGATCGTAGAGACGTTAGTCGGGAAGATCTCTGCCCCCACCTCGAAGAGCATCTTCGAGTATCTCCTCTGCTTTCTGTTTGCTTGGCTAGAAGACAATCTTGGCCCTCAAGGCTGCTCTCCTTTCAGTCCCTCTCTCCTGAGGAACTTGCCCCATCCTACGGCCTGCAGGTGTCAGTGACAGGACAGGCCTGGGGATGCTGAGGACCCCCCTCTCCATCAGAGAGAAGAGTCATCAGCAACGGAAGTCATCTCTTTCAGAGTCCAGGGGACAAGGCGATGTAGATGGAGACTGTGAAAAAGCGATACTCATGAGAGAAGGGCATTTTTATGTTTTTAAAATATGTTTCTATTGATTTTAGAGAGAGAGGAAGTGAGGGGGAGAGAGAGAGAAACATTGATCGGCTGCCTCCTGCACACCCCCTACTGGGCACCGAGCCTGCATGTGCCCTGACCCCGAATGGAGCCATCAAACTGGTGGCCTCTTGGTGCACAGGACGACCCCCAACCAACTGAGCCACACTGGCCGGGGCAAGAGAAGGGCATTTTTGGAGAAAAGTCTGAGGGAAAAGGGGACATTGTAAAGATTCTTAACTGCCGATATTGTAGGAGGACCCCTTTGAACACCAGGATTTTGTGACACAGCCATAAGCTAGTGACTGAATGGTATCTGTTATGTGAGAAAATACTCAAAAAACAAAACAAAGCTTTCCAGTATTTAATGACATTTTAAATAATCTTTTGAAAACACATAGCAGTAGTACCTATGTATTTTTTAAAGTAACATACCCACATAGAAGGCGTTTTTATTCATTCCATAAACAACGCTTGATGCACATAAGATTTTCTGGCCTGCGACAGTCACTCTGAGGACATGTCCAAGGCCGGCATCGCTAGATTAAAGCATTCCACGGAGTTCAAGACCTTCTTTTCTGTGGCTTTTTCCTTATGCAGTGATCGCATTTTCCAGGGTACGTGTCCCTGAAGTAGACGCACAACATTTTTTTTCGCAGTTTTATTTCTTGTTGTATTTTTCCCATCCCTAGATGCATATACACCATGTTCAAAGGCCCCAGTATGGCTCAAGTACCTTTTCTTTTCTTCTGAGGCAGCCGACCTTGATCTTGGGATAAAGAAGCCACAGGGGAAGTGCCAGAAAAACCATTCAGATGCAGCTCAAAAGCCTTTGTCCCAGGGACTCTGTGAGAGACAGAGGCGAAGCCAGGCCAAAGCGCCCCTGGGTGCCCTCCCTCTTGTGCCAGGCCCTGCTCGGGTCCTTTCATCCCCGGCTCACAGCACATCCTGAGTGCTCCGGGGACTGACTTTATGGGACAAGATTCAAAATGTAATCAGCTCTTCAAAAAGCGCATTAAGCCACCTCTCGCTACTTTCTGAATTTTGAAGTGTTACCCTTTGTAATATCCTACTTTGTGCCAAGTTTCCCCAGCAGACACCAACTGAGATGTGCTCTGATTCAGAAGAGGAAGTGAATGGATTGATGAGCTAGAACCTAAAGATAATAAAGCCACCATTTACACTCTTTTTAACACAATACTCAATATTGATACTTTACCAGTGCTTCACATAGCATCAATTTTAAATTTTATTTTTCAATTACAGTTGACATTCAATAGCGTTTTACATTAGTTCCAGGTGTACAGCGTAGTGGTTAGACAGTCATATACTTTACAAAGTGATCCCCCCGATATTTCCAGGACCCCCCTGGCACCATACATATTACAATATTATTGACTATATTCCCTGTGCTGTACTCTACACCCCAGTGACTTTGAAAGCTTGAAGAAAAGCAATAATTGGCAACGCTGCTCTTTACATACCATCAGCCCTTGTTGAATGCTGGAGAAACACGAGGCCTAGCAAGGTCAAGTGTGCAGAGATGGAATCCTTGAGCAGCACCTGTCTTGGTTGCAGTCTCATTTCCCGTGACTCCCTCGCGGTAGAAATACAGCTCCTGACTGCAGAGCTGCATGGCACTAAAACCTCCAGAGCAAATCTGAAGTCTCAAGAATCCTACAGCAGTTGCACGCATGCCTTTGTTTTTAAATCTTAACCAAAAAACACAAAACTGTTAGCTATCTTGTTTAATAAGCATTTTTTCTTACATGAACTGCCAGTTCCTTTTAAAGAATCTGCAGTAATTAAACCAAGGTAAACAGAAGTGGAAGTGCAAGACTTAGACTCCTTTCAATTCTCCTTATCAAAAGTTAACGTGACACAACTGAAAAACACAGCAAACATCGAAAAGTATAATTATCGTATACTCGGTGGTCTTTCATTTGCCTAAGTTTAGAAAATCAACCTCAAGTGTTATGTCAGTATTCAGAAGGTCGTTTTATTTGATCATGTTCAAATGCAACTAGTAATAGTTCACGGAGGCCTTCTCTGTTTCGTCAATGGAAATGAAGCTTCCTTGTACGCCAGGCCCTACGCTCCTTATGGTTTTCTTTCCTAAAGCGTATCACATTTTTAATCATATACTTATTTGTGTGACTATTTGTGTAACACGTTTCCCTTCCACTAGATTCTGGGTTCCAGTGGGGGAGGAAGCATATCCATCTTTGTTTGCTTCTGTGTCCCTAATGCTTGGCACTAAATCCAGCATAGAGTAAATGTTCAATAGATGTTGAATGGATGAATGAATGAATGAATGAATGAATGAATGAATGAATGAATGAATGGAAAAAGTTCAATTCATTCAATTCAGTCCTGTTTATAATTAATTCACAGTATATGTGCTACTCCGTGGGTGAAAATGGGTGCCCAGTGGCAGGAATTGAGTTCCAGGAGGCTGGGGTTGAGAGAGGGGAGATCAAAGGACCTACCAAAGATAGTGTGAATTGGATGATTCAGATTGGTTAGACCTGAGTCAAATCTGTTGAAGAAAAGCTCAGAGCAAGACAATGGAGACACATGGGAAACGAAACAAGTCCCAAGGGTCATTGTGTAGAGCCAAGAGGTTAATGTTAAGAAGAGAGAGGGTTGAAGTGAAGAGAGGTCAGAAACAAAACACATCTGAGTTTAGAGATACTGGTAAGGTTGGTGATGGTTCTGAAAATTGGCTCATTTAAAGCATCTCGATTAACGCTCTTCTGGTTTCAGGAGTTTCTTTTCAGACCTGCCTGGAAACTTTCATTCCCTGGGTGGGGCTCACATACTTCTCATCTGTCTTCATCTTTCATCCCTCCTCAAAGAAAAAGCGCTCTGAGCCCATCCCCAGATGGGCTCACACTTACCATGTTTTCTCCATATAATCAATTATTCTGTCAAAGTTAATGATCCAGCCACATCCTTTTTCAGAGCTGTGCTTCCATTTCACATCCATATGATATTTATGATAGCAGTGTCTTGTGAATTTTGATAAGAAGCTTAATCAGATATGTCTCAAAGTTACCTTACTGAATATATAACACAAAATTACCTTTTAGAGACTCTCCGACTACACATGCTATTTTGTCCTAACATCTTTCTTTCTTCATTTAATATAGTCTGTCTACGGTTTACAAAATGATATTAGAAGTCACAGTCCTACCCACACACCCACACCAGAAACTAAACCTCCAACAGAAGATGAATTACAACAACAGGTGGGTGAACCTATTAAATGACCTGTGAGTGGTCCACAGAGTAGCCTCTATGAAAACCAGAAGGTGAATGTTAACAGAAGGTATTTTAAAAGGTTGCTTGTATGGTTAACTGTTTCATATAGAAGATTTTCAGTTAAAAAGTAATGAAATTGTCTAATTATATGTAGTCAAAACCCTCCAGTGTTTAACTTCCCAAGTCCTTTTTTCCCTATCCCAATTTTTTAAAAAATTCTTATTGTTGAAAGTATTACAAGTGTCCCATTTTTTCCCCCAATTGACCCTCTGCACCTCGCTCCCACCCCCTCCCCAGGCCTTCACCCCATTATTGACCGTGTCCATGGGTTATGCATATATGCATATAACTTCTTTGATTCATCTCTTCCCACCCTCCACCCCCCTTCCCTCTTCCCTCTGAAATATGATTGTCTGTTGCCTGCGTCAGTGTCTCTGGATCTGTTTAGTTCGTCAGATTCTTTTGTTCATTAGCTTCTTCTTAAAGAAGACCCTTCAACATTTCCAGTAGTGCTGGTCTAGACAAGAGGTTGGCTACATTGTCACGTTTCCCGTATCCAATCATGTGACATGATCTTCACAAACAAGTGCTTATTGTAGTTTCTGCAGTTCTGATCTCTCTATCTATAAGCCTCTAGAAGTTTCCACACTGGTGTACAGTCATAGTATATATCACTTATTGTTTTACCAGTGGATCAATAGTTTTGTCTCCAAGTCATACTGCAAAGCAAACACCAGTGTCTCCCATCAAATATTTATTAATCTCTTAGTTGGTTCAGTTATGGGGCTTTTTCTCTTTTTGATAATTTTTTTCTTATATTTTATTGTAATATGATTTATCAAGAGTATAATACATTTTTCTAGTATACTTATAATCATCATGAAGGAAAAGTAATTCAGAGAATTTTAAATGGAAGTTTTCCATGTGTGATTATGTCCATGTGAATGTTTGCCTGAACTGTTGATAAATATTGGTTATATTTACATTCAAGCAGATTTTAATTTTTAACTCTTTCAGAGCTCTCTCATTTGATTTTTTTTTTTTACAGACTTTGGAATTTAGAACATATTCTTGTTTGGAATTGCCCAGTTTATCAGAAACTAGAGCTGAAAATTGTGAGAATGTCACTACTTATATAACTATTTCTTTAACTCTCTTTTCAGATAAACTATTGGCAAATACAGTTAGATAGACATCGGTTAAAAATGTCAAAAGTTGCTGATAGGTAAGTATTTCGAGATGTCCATATACATTTAAAAATTTTATATGACAGTGAAATATGATAAAAATGATTTAAAAAAAACTATTAGAAAGGGAGCTAAATAATTGGAACCCTGTAATAAATGTTATTTGCTCTTCCTTTTTTAACAGAAAACTTTCAAGAACTGTTTTATTGCAGTTTAAATTAACTACAGAATGATCATTATTGTCGTACATCTCTAGAAGTCCAATCCTTGTGCAACCAGAATCAGATACAGAAGAGAATTCCAAGGGGTTGAATCTTTTCCCTCCTGCTGGGAGCAATGACCCTTCAACTTACAAAGTTGGGCTTTCTATACATTCATATTAACATCCGCACTGAGTTATTACATAACTTCAAATTTGACTTAAACTCAGATTTTAAATATTTTCCATTCCTTATTCAAATCTGTTCTTAGTGGCACCCATGTTCTTCACTTTGGGACATTGTCAAATCCTACCTCTTCAATTTTTTTCCTCTCCTCTCTTTTTTTGTTTTTAAATACAGATTTAAAAAAAATTTATTTTGGTTAACAATTCCCCTTTTACCTAATTTCTATAAATACTTTTAACAAAAATCCCTTCTTAACTTCTTTTTCAAGTTGACTAAAATCAATTCAGCTTGTGGGTGAACTGGTCAACCAAGGATTGGCAGTGACGCTTAGCAATGGCCTTTACACCTTCACCTCTTCTGTTTTGCTTCATTGTAATGGCGGGATCCTGACTCACACGGCTTAGGCATGGGGAGAGAGGGACTCCTTAGCCACATTTGCCTTCCAAGAAGCACAATAAGTTGATGCTTATAAGTTACTGAAATGCGAAAACTGCCGTTGGGTTTCATTCTGCAAGCAAGGGTTCCTTGGCCAGATATTTCTTCTAGTGTCCCTTACTTTGGGCTGGTTGTAACCCCACCAGACAACTAAGGAAGATGAACATGTTTCTTCTCTCTAGTCTGCTAAGCTACACGGAACAGTATTTAGACTATGACCCATTTTTTGTGCCACCTGACCCTTCTAACCCATGGCTGTCTGATGATACCACTTTCTGGGAACTTGAAGCAAGGTGAGTGACATTTTCTCTTCCCTCAAAATATTTCACTTATTTCAGGGCTTGGGTTAAATAGGAAGAATCCTATAGCTGAGTAACTGTAAAGGTAATTTTACTCTATGTCTGCATTAGCCGATGCTATAAAATTCTTATTTAAAGGTAATGGGTTCTGAACCTCAGATATTTGGATTTGGATTAATATTTGCATTTCCAGAAGGCTGGCACGAAATAGAGGTATAAAGGCTTTCAGATAGACTAGTTAGAGTTGGGATCTTCAGTTCTTTAAATTGAACTTATTGTTTTGGCTTCCTTAAAAGTCCATGTAGATACAGAGGTCCATGAATTCAAGTGAAATGAATGCTAAATCCATACTTACTTAAGCCCAATATCAGTATGCCTTTATACATTCCATTTTAAAACAAAATGACCTTACCATACACACTCTAAGAGAAACTGACAGGAGACTGACTTCTTAAGAAAACCAAAGCATGATTTAGGACTCCCTGGTTTCTTTTATAAGCTAGGGAAGAATTATATGATCAATCTTGACAGTGATAAAAACATCATTGCATATCACTTTATAGAATGTGAGTTCTCACGTTCTGTAGCACTTCTCTAGATTGGAGTTATGGACCTTCTCTTTGTCTTACATCCATCCAGTGGATCTTAAATGCTTGAGAAGTACAGAATTCCTCACCTGAAAGCTCTAGGTTTTATACATGAGGAAGCTAGAACCCCAGAATGTTGTTACTCCACCAGGATTAAGTCACACATTTAATTGACAGCGGAGTCATAAACTAGGACTTAGGCCTTCTGGTTCCCAATGCATTTTCTCCCAGGACAGCATACCATCATGACACTGCATTGGGGAGTGGCCAAGAAATTGGGCTGTAGGGTCAGAATGTCTGCAGTTTACCCCTGATTACCTGTCTAACGTTGGCAAGTTGTAACCCTCTTTGGGCCATGATTTTCTAGCTCACTACAATTTCATGCAGAGTCATCAATCTGAGATTTTTTTCCCCCCTGAAAGTTAAAGGCAGGAATGTCAAGACATAAATGATTCGGAGGGAAATGTTATAGTAGAAAATAAGGCTTGTAATGGAAGGAATGTGTTTGGTTTTGTTTTCTCTCCTGTAGCAAAGAACCAAGCCAGCAGAGGGTAAAACGGTGGGGGTTTGGCATGGATGAAGCATTGAAAGACCCAGTTGGGCGAGAACAGTTTCTTAAATTTCTAGAGTCAGAATTCAGCTCTGAAAACTTAAGGTAAGACATGCTTTCTAGACCTTACACTAAGAGCCAGAGATGCCTACCTGTGATGTGTCTGGTTATGTAGAACTTAAAGGGTCAGTTACTCTCCCACCACCATGGCGATGACATGAACTCATTGAATTTCTGCCACTTGATGGAAGAGGGAAAAAGTAACTAAGGTGAAGTCTGTCCAGCACTATTAGTTCCTCATGGTGGTTCATTTTTACACTCTCTCTTGATCTTTTACAATATACATTTTGTCCATAAAGGAGTGCTTGGCAAAGTGGAAAATGACCAATAATATTTCTGTTAAATTACATTAAATTAAAATTGCAGTTAAATTAAAATATCAACTATTTATCAATATTGGCCTTTGCATATTGTTTCTCAAGTAAGGTCTAGAAAAAGAGGTTGGGTGCTTATATCAATAACTTGAGACAGCCTAGCCGGTGTGGCTCAGCGGTTTAGCATTGACCTATGAGCCAGGAGGTCATGGTTCGATTCCTGGTCAGAGCACATGCTTGGGTTGTAGGCTCAGTTACCAGTAGGGGGCGTGCAGGAGGCAGCTGATCAATGACTCTCTCATCATTGATGTTTCTCTCTCTCCCCCTCTCCTTTCCTCTCTCTGAAATCAATAAAAACATATTTAAAATCATAATAACACTTGAGACAAAACTCTGGGGGTGACTCATTTTCTTTGCACATTAAATGCAGCGCCAGGGCAGTTGAGAGCAGCACTGCCTTAAGCTGTTAGTGAGAGAGATCTACACACTCTCCCATCTGTTGTAAACATCATCCTCAGATATTTGGAAACTCTTCTAACTTGAAAGACACCTGGAAATTAAATTTTTAAATGTGAGACACCGGAAAAGATTGTAATAGCTCTGTTTAAGTTCGCTGAAGTGAGTGATAACTTTCCTCTACATGGAACTGTCTTTCCATGAGCTCTTCCATTATTCTTTTGAAACATGACACTCTCATCTCCTTACCCATGACACATGCCATCCTGTGCAGCTCATTTACTGAAAGGTCTCAGCAGTCATTTATTTTCGTAGGAACTAAGCGGTGCCAGGCATTGTCACATTCTTTGGGGGGGATTCAACAGAACATTCAGGAGTATGTAGAACTTTGACAGATGTCCCGTGGATTAAGCCTGATGGAGGAAGCCCTCAGAGAAAGTGAGTTCATTGTTACTCATGGTTGTGAGTTGTCTGATCCACTCAGTTTTAAAGAATTTTTAGATCGGTGTCACATTCTGCACAGGTTCTGGCTGGCCGTGGAGGACCTGAAGAAGAGGCCTATTAGAGAAGTCCCCTCCCGAGTTCAGGAAATATGGCAAGAGTTTCTGGCCCCAGGAGCCCCCAGTGCCATTAACCTGGATTCTAAGAGCTACGACAAAACCACCCAGAACGTGAAGGAGCCGGGACGGTACACGTTCGAAGATGCTCAGGTGGGTACAGGGCGGGCCTCACATCACACATGTGCTCCCGAGGAGCTGAGATACTTTTGTTTTATTTTTATTATAATGGGCGGCAGTGTCTAACAGTCCAGTTTAGATAATTGTATATAAAATAACTAACTGATCTAGAAGACAACAGAGATGCTCTAGAGTCACCTAAAAGCCTGGGACTGCTTTGTAAATTTGTATGGTTTTTATGTGAAAATTTGCTTGTATGTGAATATTTGTATGTGAATATCTGAAATATTTGAAAACTTTTACTTCGTTGTCCCCTATGTCACCCATTATGTGAGCAAACATTTATCCAAAGTGGCCCAACCTCAGGAACACATTGAAAATCTTCAAGGTGTCTTCCAGTATGGAAACTCTAAGATTCTGATATTCCGAAATTATCCACTATTACGAATAGTCAGAGCTAAACTAAACTAAATTAGCTCAGAGGTGTGTCAGACTCAAACCCGTGTTGCCACCGATGACACAATGAAATACTAGATTTAGGCACGTGTTAATTTTCCAAGTTAATTTTTTAGTCTGCAAAAAGGAATAAAAGGAAATTGATATTAAGATATTAAGATAGTAACTTTCTAAGACAAATTTTCAGCGTTTTTTCCTCAAACTGGACATAATTTATCCCTTAAGAACAACTTGAATTTCCACTTTCTCTAAAAAATGTTATGCTCAAGAAGAAAAATAAACTTGTCATGAGAGGATATTATTTCCTAATGATGTGTTGAAATTGGCTTTTAAATTAGAACATGCATACTTGATAATCTCTTAAACCTATTTTAGAAAAGAGTAGTAACTCTAGAAAGTATATTCTATTTTAAATAACAGTGTTACTAAATAAAATAATAAAATAAATAAAAATAGAAGATGAAGACTGAGATACACAGATGTCCTTCCTTAATTTTACTCAGTTGAAAGTACATTTATCCTTGGCTTTGGTTTAAGAAAACAAGCCACTGCGTAGGAAATTAACGCAGGTTGAAACAGCTAAATGAACTCCTTCCCACTCTCCCTCCCTGTGCTATAGTCTCCTATGTGGAAACAATTCCATTCTACGGAGACACACGACAGCTAGCAGGATAAAAACTCTGGCCTTGCTTATGTCTCTGCTTATTTATTTTTATTTCAGCTCAAGATAAAATTTCAAACATTTTTCTAGAGCCAACAGCGTGTCCACTGTTGGAATGGCCTTCCTGACATATTAAAAGGAACATTTATCTGTGTCATTTGAAGATATCTTGCCTAATAGGCCTTAAATAACATGAAAAGGCATCGTTTTTCTATAGAAAGCGTTACCACCAGGCCCCAGGCTTCTCTTTCAATTAAGCTCAGATGTTTAACTCCAGTTTTTTATGGGTTTTTGTAACCCTGTCTTCAAAAATATAATAGACGTTGTCTGTCACTGTTTGAGAAGAGACGCAGTGCAATGGTTCAGAAAGCAGATTCCAGAACCTAAGGCCTGAGCTCTGCACTGAGCTCTGCTCTGTCACCTTTTGCAAGTACTTCATTTCTCCAAACCTCAGTTTCTTCATATTTAAATTTTTAAATTAAAAATAATAATAAATTTGTAATATTGGGGGAAAAATGGGTATGGTAATGGTTTCCCAACCTTGTGGAGGTTCTTCGAGGATTGAATGAACGAACAGAGGCAAGCGCTTTGAAGTGTACTTGGCCTCTGCTCAAGTGCAGTTGGGCACTTGCTCTGCACAGCCCCAGGCTCCGCAGAACATTCCTCATCCCTCCAATGCCCCGCACTTGGAGAGAAGCCTTGGGCTTCACAGGGAGGCTTAGTCCTGAATGTTCTGAAGTGGATTCAGACTAACTCCAAATCATGGCTGTGTGTCTGAGACTGGGGAAACCGAGTGATTTCAAAAATTATATCTTTTCTCCAAATAAGAAGAGACTGGACGTGCAGATACTCTCCAAGGGTTCAAAACTCTGCCTCTCACTGCCGTTTCGTTAGACTAGAAAGACCAAGGGGCACTTACACTCACTGAGCTGCAATCGGCCAGGGCACAATCTCCCTAAATTGGGCCGATAACACTGAATTGGATGAATACATCTTTTTCTTTGCTTTCTTTGTCTACCAATGTTCACCGTCAAAATAGAACACTGCAAACGGATCAGGATTTAATGATTAAATATTTACCTAATTTGTCACTGAATGAGTAGAAGAAAGCATCCAAATGGGGAGATATAACCATTAAACATCACAAAATTTATGTTGTGACTTGTGCTCTGGCCCAAAGCGGATGTGAGTGACGATGATGGTGCATATGATTTGCACTAAAGAGAAGTGATTCACCGGGGCATTCTGCACCCTCCAAATCCATACGATGTCGCAGGTATCCAGGATGGTTACTCAACCCTCACTTCACGTCATTCACTTTGGACCTGGAGTAATTTTAAGAGCTAGCAGATTGATTTATATTCTCGAATAATCTATATAAATCAACAACTCGATTTGGAATCACTTTATGACATCCTGTTAACTAAAATCCATTTTTAAAGGACTGGCTGTGATTTACACTCTTTGCAGCTCCTCATCTGGTTTTAAGATTGATTTATGAATAAAATACGTAATTTGAGGACCCACATGTTCTGTAAACAGAAGGTATTCTCATCAGCAGCATTATCATTATTTCCAGCTGCTTCCAGATTTGTTTCGGAACAATATGTTGTGTTTTTATCACTGTGTTTGATTTTCCCGGAGAAATAATAAAGAAGCACCCTGACCGTTATTTCTTTCTAGGAGCACATTTACAAATTGATGAAAAGTGATTCATACCCACGTTTTATAAGATCCAGTGCCTATCAGGAGCTTCTACAGGCAAAGAAAAAGGTATTGGTTCTTCGTGACCTTTTTCAGTCTGGTTCTCAATTATCTTTATTTGCAGTAGTTACCGCCACTGGGCCCAGGGTATTGGACAAATGGTAAGTGAACACACCCCAAGACCCTCCCCCAAACCTCTGCATTTTAAAAGAGCCACTTCAGTTCTTTCTTACTCTGTCGATTGCTTTTTTGTTTGTTTCTGTAGATGGTCTTGCTTTCCACAAAGTTTCTTTGAAGCTGTTCTCACGTTTCATGCTTGTCTTCTCAATGCCCAGTTCGAGGAAATAAAAAACGACAATAAAAGAAGTAAAAGAACAGTGTCCTTAGGCAAATTGTCTTTGTTTCGTAAGCTAGAATGTATGTTTTTAGCCACATACCCCATAACTAAAGATATTCTTTTTTTTTTTTTTTTTTTTTTTTTTAAGTGAAAGCTGTCAGAATGTAGTAATGTTTGCTTCTGAATATTTTTCACTTGGTATTTAGCCTGAATCCCTTGGTATCCCCACAGTGAGTTTTACACACCTAATACGGTGGCCGAGCACCCTTAGGAAGAGTCCCAGGAGACTTCATTTGAATTAATGTTTACAGTCAGTCTCACTGTCCTTAGCACCCTATGTCATCCATGTAAGATAATAGGATGTGGGAAACCTGGAAATAAACATCAACATCACTCATTATTTCCTAATATTGAAAGAGTTCATAGCTTCTTAAAATTCTGAGATGAAATTGTAATTTCGTGTAATTCATGATCATCATTTAGGCTAATGAGACTTTTCAAAGTATCCTATAGTCCGACTGTCCAGTACAGCAGCCACCAGCCACATGAGGTTGTTTAAATTTAAATTCAAATTAATTAAGATCATGTAAAATTCTAACCAGATAGTAAGTACTCAGTGATCACAGCTAAAGGCTTCTGAAATGTGGGACAGCAGAGTATGAAATGTCCATCCTTTAAGAAATTTCTATTGGATAGAAATGCTTTAAAAATCAATACTGTTATCAACAGCAATCTGGTCCTGATAGAAAATTATTAGGAATGCCTCTAGATTTTCAAATATTAAGACTTTGCAAATGTCAGCATAAAAATTTCACATATCTACTTCATTTTAGCGTACTTCAATTTTGCTTGAAATCACTCCATTTTGTTTGCACAAGAAGAGATTGAGTGTTTAAAATAAAATCATTAATAAAAAGAGGCTTTCCTTGGCAGCTCTCCCACCTTCCTGGTCCCTGTGACTTAAGATATGATTTGGTATTTTATCATTTCATCTTCTTGTCTTTTTCTGCTCTGTTTTCCTTGCTTTCTTTTTTTTTATGCTCCCTGTTTCCCTTTGCCCTACCCTACCCTGCATGTGTAAGTCGGAACACTCAATGGGTCGCAGAACATCTCTTGAGAAATTTGCACAGAATGTGGTAAGTCTTATTTTTGGAGGAATTACAGATCATTAAGTCCCGTTAATCAATTTCTTTGATTTCTGACCCCATCGCCCAGCCAGCTTATTGCCTTTATTCAAATTCAGAACTTTGTTTACTAATCCTTCGGTCTCAGACCTTTCCAGAGTAGCTAAAGATGTCATACATGACAAACTACGTGTATCAAACTAAGGTTTGGAAAGAAGTATATATTATAATCTATAAAATAAAGAAATAATTGTTTTTTAAATGTTTTTATTGATTTAGAGAGAGGAAGGGTGAGGGAGAGAGAGATGATTTAGAGAGAGGAAGGGTGAGGGAGAGAGAGAGAGAAACATCAATAATCAAAGAGTCTTCCATAGGCTGCCTCCTGCTCGCCCCCTACTGGGCATGGAGCCCACAGCTCGGGCATGTGCCTTGACCGAGAATCGAACCGTGACCTCCTGGTTCATAGGTCGACCATCAACCACTGATCCACGCTGGCAGAGCAGAAACAATTTATTTTATATTTTTATTTTTATTCACTAGATCCCCTTCTGTGTTTCTATGCTCTTTCCCTTGGTTCTTCCTAAGAACAGCGAGGGGGCTGTGCTTCCTCCGTCTGCAGGGAGAAAATGACCTAGTAAGCAGTTCAAAGCCAAAGACTTGGTATGAATGGTGGCCAGTGACAAGATATGCCCAGTACCATGAAGAGCCACCACCATGCCTCTCTTATTCTTTACTTTTCAGGAAGCTGTTGAAAATTACCAAGTAAACCCTTTGGTAGACCAGTAGTTTTGATACCACTGTGTGCTCAGTACCCTGCCCTCTGTTTTGGTGATATCTTTGTTTGTGGGGTTCTTCTTTTCTTTGTATTGTGCCAGTGCCTTTGGAACTTTCTGACATTGTGTGAGCTCAAACTAAAGCCTTGAACACATTTATTTTTATAGGGCAGAAACATCCCTATTTTCCCATGCCATAAAAACTGTACACCAACACTGAGGGCCAGCACTAACCTGTTATGAAAAGAGGTAGAAAACTCTTGGTTTCTACTCTAGTTCGTCTGCATTGTCTGTTGAGTTGTGTGATTAGCTCCATGCTGCTGTGCGTGTGTGTGTGTGTGTATGTGTGTTGTGGCTTTTGCTATATGACCGCTAGTTAAGTGGAGTTGTGTGTGTTGACATGTAAGCAAATTGGATTTAACGAAGATACGGCTTTTGTTTTTAGTTTCCTTCAGAGAGCTTTGTGGTGGGGAATGTTAATCAGTTCTATTTACGAATTGCCGGTTGTGACTGTGCGCAGAGTATTTGAAAGACTTTCAACAGCAGAATATACTTTGAACATTCAATGTGATTGCACAGATTAAAGGGCTGGAAAATGAAGGACTCCAGGAGTTAATCACACTATAAACTTCACAAAATTTGGGCTGGCTCTACTGGAGTCTCCAACCTTTAATATAAAATTTCCTCCTACGTCACCAGGGGAAGATAATATATAAGAAATGCCTTAAGATCTTGGTGGAGAAAGTTGCACAGTGCTCAGTATATTGTTGAAGAATTGTTTCAAATTCATCTTTTTCTAATCTGATGCTGACAGGATATTGTTCTTAAGACAAGAATGGAAGATTCTGTGATATAATTAAAAATAATAGTGCAACTTAAGGAAGATGAAAAAAGGAAGCAAAATGGTTGTCTTTCCTCCAACACCATCCCCGATTCTGACCAACTTCCTCAACCCTTAAAATAGCAACACATTTGTTTGTTTGTTTTGATTTTTTTAGATTCCACATATAAGTATAATCATACAGTATTTGTATTTCTCTGTCTGAGCTACTTCACTTAGCACAATACCCTCTTGGTCCACCCATGATGTCATAGATGACAAGGTTTATTATTTTGTATTGCTGAATAATATTTTATTATATAGTATATTATATATATTACATAAATATTATATATGTATACTATATATATCCCACTTCTCCTCTATCCATTCATCTATCACTGGACACCTAGGTTGCTTCCCTATGTTGGCTGTTGTAAATAATGCTGCAATGAACATAGGGATGCAGATAGACATAGTGGAAGAAAGGTGGGGTTTAAACAAACATTTCAAGGGGTGTTTTGTTCAGGTAAATACAGGTAGACTGCAAGATAGTATCCAAGAAAAAAATGGAATAGAGAAACTATACGTAAACAAGTATGTAGACTGTGACAGAAACTGGGAAAAGTGAGATGATACTACTAAAAACACCCCTTCATTGAGTGCCTGCCAGGTCCCAGGCTCTGAATGAAGCACTATAAATTATCTATTTTAACTTAAACTGACCCTGCAAATTAGGTGTTATTATATTCATTATTTTACCCATTTTACAAGTGAGAAAACTGAAGGGTCAGAGGGGGGACATAGCTTGCCCAGAATCACACAGTTAGTTAGGGAGCTGGCACTGACCCAAAATTTCTTTTTCCCCCAAATTCTTTCTCTCTCTACCTTGCTCCTTAGTAAATCCTGCCACTTGACGACATCCTTCCCTGGAGTATGAATCCATTTTCAATTAGTGTCTATTTGTAGAAGTTTATTTATCTGTTCCAACATATTTTTATAGCCTGGCTTATAAAAATAGCATCACAAGAGTTTTACACAAGAGTCAAAATGTTTTGCTAGACAGATCTTCCCAGTACCATTGGAACTTCTGTTGGTGTCTGAGACTAGTAAACTCTTGGTCACTAAACAGCTAACAGTTGCATAGCATTTTACAGTGTCCCAAGGACCCCCTCGTTCTTTTTTGTTTGCTTTGGATTTTGTCATTGCTGCTTACACACACAGCAATCTTGGGAGGTGGTCTAGCAGGCATCACCACCCTTTTAGAGATGAGCAAATTGAGGAGTGATGAGATGAAGTCATTTCACCAATATCACAATTGTTGAGTGATAGAACCAGGACTGGAAGCAGACTTTTCTAACTTTAAATCCATTACTCTGCAGATTACCGATTTCATTAGGCCCAGCAGTGGAAGGACAGGAGTGACTCACATTTTTGTGTCACACCTTCACCTTGGCTTGTCATCTCAACAAATCTCTGTCCCTGTGATTTACTCTTTTATTCATTTTCCTTGTCATCAGTGAAGTCTTTCAAGGTCTTTCAAGGGTTGCTATGCCCTCTCATGCCTTTAAATGTCATTCTTGTTGACTTCATTGTCTTTTGACAAAGTTCAGGCGTTGTACTAATTGTAACAGTTGTTTTCTTTCTCCATCACCATCATCAAGTCTGACATCGGTTTTCCAACCATTAAATTATGTCAGCATCTGTCGGCCACATAAACCCTAAGGGAGAGCAGGTAGGAAACAAGGGCGAAACAGGCTGGGAGGAAGGGTCAGTCATACCTTCATCCAAAATCTATAAATTGCGCATTTAGGTTCTTATGTATGTATGTATTTATTTATTGCCGTTATAGATCAAAGTGTGATGAACATCCTTAACATTAACTACTGACTTTTTTCTTATATTTATAAACAATTGAATTGCTTGGTTACATGGAATGCAAAATTATAAAATATGTCTATTTTTCTATTTCCCTTTCTCTCTTACCTTTACTTTAACACAAGAACATAAAATAG